CAGAAAGCCTTTGACAGAGTGCCACACCAGTGACTAGTGCGAAAGCTGGAGATGCAGGCAAGAGTGAAAGGGAAGGTACTCCATTGGATAAGGGAGTACCTAAGTAACAGAAGGCAACGAGTCACTGTACGGGGTGAGGTCTCAGATTGGCGAGACGTCACCAGTGGGGTCCCGCAGGGTTCAGTCCTTGGACCCATGCTGTTTCTTATATATGTAAATGATCTTCCAGATGGTATAGAATCATTCCTTTCATTGTTTGCTGATGATGCAAAAATTATGAGGGGGATTAAGACGGAGGAAGACAGTATGAGGCTACAAGACGACCTAGACAGACTACATGAATGGTCCAACAAATGGCTACTTAAGTTCAACCCGAGTAAATGTAAGGTAATGAAACTAGGCAGTGGAAACAGGAGGCCAGACACAGGATACAGAATGTGAGATGAAGTCCTTCATGAAACGGACAGAGAGAAGGATCTAGGAGTTGATATCACACCAACCCTGTCTCCTGAAGCCCACATCAAAAGAATAACATCTGCGGCATATGCGAAGCTGGCTAACATCAGAACTGCCTTCAGGAACCTGTGTAAGGAATCATTCCGAACCTTGTATACCACATATGTAAGACCAATCCTGGAGTATGCGACCCCAGCATGGAGCCCGTACCTTGTCAAGCACAAGGCAAAGCTGAAAAAGTTCAGATATGCCACTAGGCTAGTCCCAGAACTAAGAGGCATGAGTTATAAAGAAAGGCTGCGAGACATGATCATGATCAGACAAGGGAGACATGATCACTACTTACAAAATTCTCAGAGGAACTGACAGGGTAGATAAAGATAAACTGTTTAACACGGGCGGTACGCATACAAGGGGACACAGATGGAAACTGAGTATCCAAATGAGCCACAGGGATGTTAGAAAGAACTTTTTCAGTGTCAGAGTAGTTAACGGATGGAGTGCATTAGGTAGTGATGTGGTGGAGGCTGACTCCATACACAGTTTCAAATGTAGATATGATAGACTCCAGTAGGCTCAGGAATCTGTACATCAGTTGATTGACAGTTGAGAGGCGGGACCAAAGAGCCAGAGCTCAACCCCTGCAAGCACAATTAGGTGAATTAGGTGAGTACATGGTTAAGGCTGACTCTATACACAGCTTCAAGTGTAGATATGATAGAGCCCAGTAGGCTCAGGAACTGGTACATTAGTTGATTGACAGTTGAGAGGCAGAACCAAAGAGCCAGAGCTCATCCCCCACAAGCACAACTAGGTAAGTACAACTAGGTAAGTAAGTACATACATACATACATACATACATACATACATATACTGTACATATGTCAGTGTCTTGCCATGATAGAAAATAAGACTGGAAATTCCTTAAGAACAGTACTATACTTTCATATTGGTCAATACATTTTAAGAAGTGATCCATCTGAAGATGTATTGACTAATACAAAAGTACTTAAGGGAATTCCTGTCTTATTTTCCTTGGGGTCAGACATTGTCACATTATTCATCACATGTTAATTTCTTTGGGATTTGCATACACTCAACATTCTTCCTTCTATATACCTTGGGTCCAGTTGTGACTGGACATGTAGCCATGTCTCGATAAGAGTCGAAACCTCCAACCCCCCTTTAGGCACGAAAAATAATAATGTTATGCACAAAAGTACATAATATATTATTGTTTTACTAGATATTTTAAACAAAACACCACAGAATACTGGTAATAAAACAACCATAAATATGGACACTCGCCAAGATGTTTCTCCACACATGATGTAGGAATGATGTCTAGGTGAATATGGTGATGTTAACTGAGGGGTTGAGGCCGAGATGTTGAGGGTTTGGTTTCCTTACCTCACCTTGCGTTCCTTACAAGGAATGCAAGGTGAGGTAACTAATTACCTTGCCATGATTTCGGGGCTCAACTTCCTCGTGGCTCGGTCCTCGACCAGGCCTCCTCGTTGCTGGACTGGCCAACCAGACTGTTGGACACGGATGCTTGCAGCCTGACATTAGGTTTTGATGTGCTAGGTTTGGTTAGTCAAGGTTTAGTTTCTTGAGATTATCTTGAGATGATTTCGGGGCTTTTAGTGTTCCGCGGCCCGGTCCTCGACCAGGCCTCCACCCCCAGGAAGCAGCCCGTGACAGCTGACTAACACCCAGGTACCTATTTTACTGCTAGGTAACAGGGGCATAGGGTGAAAGAAACTCTGCCCATTGTTTCTCGCCGGCGCCTGGGATCGAACCCAGGACCACAGGATCACAAGTCCAGCGTGCTATCCGCTCGGCCGACCGGCTCCCTCACGTTAGGCATGGTTTGGTTTGGCTAGGTTTGGTTTGGTTAGGCTAGGTTTAGTTAGTTTTGGTTTTGCTTGGTTTGTTAGATTAGGTTCAGTTAGGTTAGCTTTGGTTTGGTTATCTTGAGATGATTTCAGGGCTTAGAGTCCCTGCGGCCCGGTCTCCTTTTTGTTACACACCCCCAGGAAGCAGTCCATAGCAGCTGTCTAACTTCCAGGTACCTATTTACTGCTAGGTAACAGGGGCATCAGGGTGAAAGAAAGATTTTGCCCATTTGTCTCCGCCTCCACTGGGGATCGAATCCGGAACCTCAGGACTATGAATCCGAAGCACTGTCCACCTGTCAGGCGCCTCGGTTGGTTAGGTTTGGTGTGGTTTGGTTTGGTTAGGTTTGGTTTGCTTTGGTTAGGTTAGGTTAGGTTAGCTTTAGTTAGGTTTGGTTCAGTTAAGTTTAGTTGGGGTTGGTTAGGTTTGGTTAGGTTATGTTAGTTTAGGTTTGGTTAGATTATGTTTTACCTGCGAGTCATTAACACTAGGGGCCTTGACCAGGACAGGAAGCCGGAGGCTTGTTGAAGGTCCCCCCCATTTGCCTTGATGAACTTTTCCAGTTGTACTTTAAAAGTTAAGAGAGTTTTGATATTAATGGCTTCGGCAGATAATACGTTGGGTTTGGTTAGGTTATGTTACATTGGATTTGGTTAGGTTAATATATGCCAGTACAAGCTTGTTTCATCGGCATTATAAATTTGCTCAGGAGATAGAGAATCGTCCTGTATAATTTCAAATTTGGACACATTCCTCTGCACCTCTATCCAATGCTACCCAAAGTCTCCTAGCATTATGTAAGTAATGAAGACATTCGGTATATATGCTAACTGTAATGCTTGTGCTGGGTAACTTTGGCTAATATTGGGTAGCTTTAGGTGGCTTTGGGTGATTCTACAGACTACAGGTGACATTCCAGATTCATCTTTCTTTATAATCTGAATGTTTTGATAAAAGATCATCGCAACATGTTTTCTCTCGACTTCAGAGCTTGTTGAACAACACATTTTCTGCATTTCCTGACGCACTAGTACCAGGATGCGAAAAATATGCAGAGATATAAAACGGTAAGAGGAGAAGGGCTTTGTCCACCGCAGGTAGACACATAAACAAAACTGGGTCGTTAGAGCAGGTGCAGAGGTCATGTTACGGCAACACGGTGGTCGGCTGCGAAACTACATAGGCCTTGAATTGTGAATTCAAGGAGATGAATTACATGGTTTAGCGTTATCAGAACATTACTGTCAGAGGATGGACGATGCGTTTTAGTTCTCATCGGAAGAGCTAAATAAATAACAAGTGGTGGTGTAATAATGCATTCACTTTTTTCTTGTTCTGTGTATATATTTGTAAATATTAGTATTATAATATAATTTATAAAATATTTTGTATTTAAGCCTCTTTAAAAGTTTTTAAGCAATGTACAATTGTTTACACTTAGAATAGGTGGATCGTGGATGATGCAAAAACAGCCACATCCCGATGATTGGCCTCAGTGATGGCTTGGATGAACATTCCTCACTTAGTTGGAAATTTGTATGTTCCGTTGAAAGGAAAATTAGTGTAATAGGTTTAGGAGTAATCATGTCAGAAGACATTACTTTTAAAGAGCACAACAAAGATGCTGTCACAACTGCAAGAAAAAAGGACAGGTTGGATAACAAGAACCATTCAAATATGAGATGCCACACCAGTGATGATACCTTTAAAGAAACTAGTGCTCTCTAGAGTGGAATATTATTTTACTTAGTACTTAAAGCCCCATTTACGTAGTACATAAAACCCCATTTAAAGCTGGAGAAATTGCTGACCTGCAAAGCATGCAAAGATCTTTTACCGCTGGAACCCACTCAATAAAACATTAAATTATTAAGGCTGCTTAATTTTTTTTATCTATATTCCCAAGAATGCAGGCAGAAGTTGTACATAATAATTTACACTTGCAAAATACTAGATGGGCTAGTACAAAATCTGCACACATTAATAACACTACTTGAGATCAGAAGACATGGCAGGATGTGCAAAATAACCCCATTGAAAAGCAGATGTGAATAGCAGACATGCTGAGAGAGAACTGGATCAATATCAAAGGTCGAAGACTTTTAAACACTTTCCCTCTACACATACGGAGCATAACTGGCCGACCTCCCGCAGCGTTCAAAAGAGAACTTGACAAACACCTTCAAAGGATGCCTGAACAACCAGGCTGTGACTCATACTTCAGGCTGCAAGCAGCTGCATCAAACTGCCTGGTTGACCAGACCATCAATCAGAAGGCCTCCTCAGAGACAGGCCGCAGGGACGTTGATCCTCTGAATGATCGACTGGAACACAATCTGTTTAGACCCTTCATGAATATGTTAAGAGTCAGGACCCACTATAGTAATAAAGTATTAGTGATTTAATACTTGTGTATGTATGAATATGGATATCACAACAGAAAATTTGGATTCTTAGCATAACTTTGTAAATACAGTATGGTATACCAGACCAACCCTGTGGTAAGGAAAGTCATTTTACTACAGTATTTTTATGCATTCTTTTAAAATAACTTTTTTGTTTGCACATTGCACATACAGGATTAGATGTCAGAAATATAGCTGCAGTAAAGGGTTATGTATAATATTTTCTTTTTCCGCTTTCAGGAGAGATGAGTGTGATTATTCCCTGAAGATGTATACAGGCGCCGAGAACAATAAAGAAACGCAACACATCACTCCGCACATTGCAGCTCACAAATCCTCACTGACGCCTACTTCTTCAGCTTCTTCCCTGTCTTCTGTGGCACTGTCTGGGTTTGGTAGTCCACAAGACCTGGCTCATCCACACTTATCTTCTCATAAAATAGGATTGAGTGGTCACATCCCTACCTACAGAGCTGGCATACATGTGCCTCACCAGTCTGTAGTGAAGGGTGTTGACCACGATGGACCCTTGCTGTTGCCTCGGTATGCTCACACTAACCTTTCAACCCACTTCTCCAAAAGTGCCCCACAAGATTTGTCAGCACATTCTACAGCAGGTGCAAATAAAGCAGTTCCTCTGGAGTTGACACCTCACACATCTCACCACAAACCACTGTCTCACATTCAGCCAGCTGTGAGCCAAGGTATGAGCAGTAATCCAGCTGGGACACTTATGCCAGCACATCAGGCTGACAGAGGCTCCGCATATTATCGTGTTCCAGATTCCGTTATAAACGTCCAGGGCCCGTCTGCTGTGTTGGTATCTTCTGTTGGAGGGGACGGGGGTGTTTCAGGTACCCATCCTAATGCTCAGACCAGTACATTAGTACATTCACAGTCCAATTTGCAAGCACAAAGTTCTGCTACAAACCTGACAACCATGCCGGGAGTTTCTTTGTCAGCAACTGTATCACTGCCAGGAGGTTTAAACCCAACCATAGTTACATCAGTGTCACAGAGTTCCATGCAACCAGTTGAGTGTCTTATGACTCCTATTGTGTCATCTGCTTGTGGGATGCCTCAGGCAGATGTTAAAAAAGAGAAAAATGAACGGTACGAAGAAATGAAAATGTCTGCTGGTCAAGGAGGTGATGGATCCCAACACACAGTTGGGCCACAAAGAGACCTTGTACGTCAAGCACTCCAGGCAGTTGTCACACATCCTCAACACAAAACTGGTAATGACCAAGAAGTAATTGAATACAACTACACTGCTGGTGATATTGCAGGTAATTTTAGTATTTCAGTCATCTTCTGCGTTTGCGTTAAAACCAGTGCCAGCAGTGTTCTTGTGTACCTCCAACTAATTACCATTCCTTTATATTTAAGATAAATTAAGTTTTGTCTTTGCTCCGTGTATGATATTCATCTTTATCTGTGCCTTATTTTCAAATTCTTTTCTTTATTACACAATTGAGAGATGTGTTGCAGGTGTATATGACACACCGTGTCTTTTATTACAGCACTAAGTTACACAGGCTATACTCTACTTCCCAGATACTTACATCACTAAATCTCATCACCATTAATAGCCTCAACTCCAGTGATTTCACATTAAAAGCTTTGTTAAGCTTATAACTTGAGTGATTTAACTCCCTCCTGCTTGTAACATGAAAATTGAAAAAATATATTATGCAGACTTAGGAAAATGAGCAGAAATAACTCGTGTTTAATAGCAGTTATTAGAGAAAATGCTAATATATGACTTAAATAGCAGTTATTAGAGAAAAATGCTAATATATATGGCTTGCTTGCAATAACTAGGGTAAAGTCGCTGATTGTCGCCAAATGCAATTTAATAACATTTAGGCGGTCGCAAATTTCTGGCTACTCGCACCAAAAAACTTCCATTACTAAATAGAATGAAACAAAAACACACAAATAAGAGGAACTCTTTCAAATATTCTCCAATAAGTTGAAACATGAAACATACATAAACCAATAAAAAATGAAGCATCCAATTTCTGTAACTATGCATGTATATTAGGAACATATAAGATTTTTTGTTTTCTCTAGTTATCAAATGTTCGGCCTTATGTTTTATTTGATTTATTATTATCTTGTTGTTAGCTACATTTATGTTTCTTACACTTTACAATTACACTGGGGTATTCACCTAAACAGGTGCATTACAGGTAATAAACTATATTACCAGATATTGGTATCATGGGAACTCAAGTGCCAATATCAGGCTACCAAAACTCACCATCTTTTAGTTGAAAACATTAAGAAATGTAAAATGCTTATGCTCCCTTGTTGCATTATCACCACATTTTAATGCTCTGGGGTGGCCGATGCCTATGTGCGACCATAAGGAGAGTGGTCCATCAAAATGTCTCCCAAAGAACTGATGCACCATGTTACTGTGTCTAATAATATCAGACCTTAACAATGATATCCAAAGGAACAATACACTGAACATTGGGGCGGCTGATGCTGGCAACTGTTATCCAATGCAGGTGTTTGCCGGTATGGAGATTGGAACTGTAGGTACCAAGTATGTTTTTATAGGAATGGTGTGCAATAGGATAAATTAAATTCATTTAACACACGAAATATGATTAGCTGACTAAATACCGACACTCCATTTCCTGAAAACCTTCCACCTAGATGGTTTTGTTAATATATCTATAACAGTTGCCTTTGCAAATTAGATTATAGTATTTTTTTATACATATAGTAACCATATCTTTTTGTTAGACATACCATTGTTTTCTCTTTAATGGCATTATATTACTGTATTTTTAATTCAATTTGAATGCAAATAATTTTCTAAGTGCCCCATACACAGCCTCACCCTAATACCTACCTTGTTGTAATGTATGAAGCTAAACCCCAAATTTGTCAAAAACTCTTCAAAAATACTATATTTAAATAGTCAAATTTTCTATGTCGAGATATGGAAAATATCTAAAGGAAACAATTAGAATGCATTTGTAACCTTTTTGCCTTTTCCTCTATTTTTGTATGTACAGTATGCATATAATGAAAACAATTAGAATTTTTTTATAATTTATAAAGTATTAAACTGTACAGTATTTTATTATAGTTTTGTTTTCAGGCAGATAAGTGCATTATTGAAAGAGAAAATCCAGTGTTAAATGTAATGAAAAGCCCCTTTCTGGAGGAGCCCCGGTGGCTCCCTGAAGTTATCTTGCTGAGATGGCTCCATCCTAAAATGAGGTTTCTCGGAACCAGACATAATACAGATTTCGGAGAATGACATAGAGTACATAGAGATGTCGCGAGACAAAGTAAAAAAAATGTTCAAGGAACTAGGAAGAATCAAAGCCAGTGGCTCAGTTGGAATTTCACCTTGGGCTCTGAGAGAATGCACATCTGAGCTGAGCATTCCACTTTAATGGATTTTTGAGGCATCTTTATGTACAGGAATTTTAACAGATGTATGGATAAAATGTAAACATAGTTCTGGTCTTCAAAAATGGTAGCAGAGAAGACCCTTTTAATTGCAGACTTATATCGTTGACAAGCGTGGCAGTCAAAACACTGAGAAAAAATAATTAAAACCCAGAGGGTAGAACACCTGAAGAGAAATTATATTAAGAGAGACAGTAAAAAGGCAAACTAGAGTCTGCTCTATAATAATCCTTATAGTAAACCAATGACCAAACATACCTGGTTAGGCCCTCCTCACTTCTGGGGGGGGCCAAACAAGGTTAACCACTGAACTGTGCCAACCGAGTATTCTCGGTCGGTGGGAAACTGCGCCAACCGAGAAAACTCTCTTTGATTTTTTCGTACCCATTCTAAATGTGTGTGTGGTTGGTTCTGTACGAAATGGACTCTTAGGACCTCCAGTGAGAGGCAGCCATCTCTGAAAAAATTCACAGAATGCCCTAGGGCTGCTGGCTGGGTTAGTACTGAGTGAGCAACCATGGGTGGCGCATGCGCCTCTGGCCCCCAAACACCTGTCCGACACGGTGTTAAAAGATCACGCTTTGTCGGTAAAATTCAAACCTTATTGTTTGAAGAACATAAGGGTCATAATATCGGTGAAGCTAGGCGCAATAAGGACCTAACATAAAGGTCGGATGTAAGTCATACACCACCTATGAGGATGATACAGCAAGCGTATCCAGTTGTAGCTTTGAGCGCCACCCTTGCCTACCTATGCTATCTCCAATTTATATAGATGATACATAGATGAATCGTTTTCTGCGTTCAGTGATGATGCATCTGATACAAGTAGCATAGATGAACAGTGTTAGCGGCTTCCATGGTGGTGCTTTTCATAGATATTTTCAAGAATAGCTGAAACTCTTCTTGACTGACGGACACTCTTTGAGGCTGGCTGAATCTCTTCCAGACTAACGGACACTCTTCGAGGCTGGCTGAATCTCTTCCTGCGTGGGACAAAGCGATCTTTTCATGACAACCTTACAAACTGATCTTTTCCTGTAATCTTTTCAATACTACTTGTGCTTTACAAGCTTGGCTACATACCACCTACAGGTACTAAAGCCAAGGGGTGTACGTGAGTGCGTTATTTGCAAGCACACAGAGTGAAGAAACACGAAGTGAAAATCTATCTGTATCTGGTGCAACGAGAGTGAAGTCGCCCTGTGTACCATGGACTACTTCATTGATTATTACTCACTTCCGAAGTACTGAGTGTAAATACCTAAGTGTAGTTACAGGATGAGAGCTACGCTCGTGGTGTCCCGTCTTCCCAGCACTCTTTGTCATATAACGCTTTGAAACAACTGACGGTCTTGGCCTCCACCACCTTCTCACCTAACTTGACGTAATAACACCACAAAAGTGAAAATCTATCTGTATCTGGTGCAACGAGAGTGAAGTCGCCCTGTGTACCATGGACTACTTCATTGATTATTACTCACTTCCGAAGTACTGAGTGTAAATACCTAAGTGTAGTTACAGGATGAGAGCTACGCTCGTGGTGTCCGTCTTCCCAGCACTCTTTGTCATAGCTCCTATTATAACCACCGAAGGAGATAGTAATTGGAATAAGAAGAGGATAGCAAGGGAGCGTAGGAGAAGACCATGAACAGAAAAGGGAGAAGAGAGAAAGAAAAGGAAAGAGAAAGAAAGATAAATGGAAGGGGTTCCCACTTGTTCCCACTCAACTTTGAGTGGGAATCTCAACTTTGAGTGGGAATCTAATTCCCTCCTTCCTTTTCTTGATGTGCATGTTCACAGCTCTGTGTCTGGGTTCTCTTTCTCAGTCTACCGTAAACCCATGCATAGTGGCATGTACATTCACTTCTTTTCCTACCATGCTCCTTCTGTTAAGAAAAGTGTCCTCGTCTCTCTCTTCCTCCGCGCTCTACGCATCAGCGACCCTCAGTTTCTTGATTCTGAAATTGCCTTTATCTACAAATTATTCTCTCGCCTTGGTTATCCTTTGCATTTCATCAACTGTGCCTACTCTCAAGCTAAACGAAATTTCTTTCATCCTAAACCTGCTTCCAACACTAGTAGCACTGTACTATGCCTTCCCTTCATATCTGAACTCAAAACTTTTACCAATACCTTTCGTCCTCTTGACATTAAACTCGCCTTTCGACAAACTAACACACTTCGTAGCAATCTAGTTCACACTGCTCCTCCTGCTTCTAATGCTGCTGGTGTCTACTCTATTTCCTGTTCATCTTGTCCTCTCCAATACTTTGGCAAAACTGGCCGTACACTGAATGACAGACTTAACACTTTCGCTCACCCCGCACACCATCCCTCAATAGTGTGATATGGGACCCAGGGTGTCACGGGAGCGCGCGTAAATTCTAAAAAGTGTATACTCTCTTCAACTTTGTCACCTTAATTCTCGTCCTACGAGATTAAATTTGGTATCATTGTGTTCGCAATAGAATTCTCTACAGCACTAAATGCATATAAACTCCAAAAGCCCGGCTAATTACCCGCAGCAAACAGAGAAAGTGCGAACGAGTTACCCAGGAGCGCGCAAACGCGATAAAATGTTTTCACTATTTTCACTCTGGTCACCTCAATTTCTGTCCTAGGTCTTTCATTTTGGTCTCAATGGGTTCACAATAGAATTCTCTAGAGGAACATTAGCATATAAAATATAAAACCTGGTCACGCTCCAACCGCCGACGAGTTGAAGACGGGCCACGTGTTAGCCGGGAGTGAGCGCTCAGACGCCTTCCAGCTACACTCCCAATTCCCTACCTTTTCAAGCCTTTCTTTCGCAATTTTCTTCCTGGAAGGGCCTTGTTCATGATCACTA